TAGTCAGAGGACAGATTAAACTAGATCAATTTCAAAAACCTGTTACTTTTTGTAATTGATTTATTTCAGGTGTAAACTGAGGGCCTTCAGAATTAGTACTGTTTTGAAAAACACTTTTTGGCACAATAATGGGGAATTAATTTATACTATACCTTGATTAGATCTTTGCCTGACAAAACAAACCAAATGCTCATGACACAAGACAAAGCAATCAGCATTAGATGTTTGCTTGCCATCTTCCCAGAACTGTAATTTTTCTTCTTCTCTTCCTTATGCTATCAATCTCGCTAATCATAACTTAACTTTTAGCAAGCTGCTGCCTGTTTCTCTTCACCTGTATTGTCTACTCCTGGCAGTGGAGAGATCAGACATTGCTCCACATGCCTGAAACTGTAAATTGTGGTCAGGATGTGCAAGGCAAGAAAATTCCGAGGCACCACAGCAATGCACATCCAAACCAAGGATGGCTCGTGTTCATTAAAAAAAAAAAGCAAAGAGGCTCAGAAATTGATGACATTTGAACAAGTCTTGAAATCTTTTTTTTTTTAATTGTGGAAACAATCTGCATTACAATAATACTCTCTACACCTGTGGTCCAGTTGAAAAAAAAAAATCTAGCAGGTTTGAATGTGCAGCCTTTGCACTTTGCCAAAATTGCAATTAACCTTTACAGCAAAGCACAGCACTATTTGCAACATCACCAGTGAGAACCCTGACTCTCCCCTTTGCTCCAGGCATTCAGCAGCTACTTTGACAGCGCAGTACAACTTCTCACTCATCACGTTTAGAAAACTGGATGCTTCAGCTTCCTTTTCCAAAGCACGGTAAGCAGGGAGCTCAGGGAACAAGGATCACTGTAGCATCTTGCCTCTTGGCAATGGCATGAAGCCACTGGACTGCTAAAACAAGCACGCAGACAACACTGCCTGAAGAAATTCGAGTAGGGAGCTGCGCCAGCAGGCGTAGGCTGCAAAAGAACAGGTCTAAGTTAATTCCTTGCTCAAAGGTAATGAAAAAAGAAACAATATATTGGCTGTTGGAGCCTTCTTTGGGTGGGAGGGAGGGAGGCAGGGAAAGCAGCAGATAATTAAGGCATAGGAGAACAAAAGACATAAATGGTAAGAAGCCAGCAGCTGTATCAGCCTCACTTAAGCTCGGCAGGTGTGAGCCTGGACAGTACCTGGATGGGAGACCTCCTGGGAAAGCTAAGGTTGATGCTGGAAGAGGTGTTAGTAGGGCCAGTAGGGGGTGCTCACCCCGAGGTCTGTGTGGGTCCTAATGCCCCAGTATAGTGATGGAGACACTAATAATTACTATTTCCTTACACTTACTTAGTGCTCTTCTGGAAACTCAACTCAAGCGCTTTCCAGGTAATGGGAACTCCCCTCCATCACCACCAGTGTGCAGCCCCCACCTGGATAATGCACCAGTCTGCCCCCCCACACACCAGCTATCAGTGGGGAGTAGAGCAGAGTGATGAAGCCAGTTTAGAGATGGGGGTTATTAAGAGGCCATGATTGGTAAAGTCCAACAGGAAATTTGGTCAGGGCGCCAGGGTAAAACCCCTACTCTTTTCAAGAAAAACGCCCTTTTTAAACTATACTGTAAAAAGGCGCCATCCTTCGGATGAGATGTGAAATCAAGGTCCTGTCTCTTTGTGGTCATTAAAAATCCCAGGGCATTCCTTGAAAAAGCGTAGGGATGTTCTAAAATACCTTTCATCAATATTTGCAAAAAAGATTTGGGCCTAATCACTATGTGCATAATACAGGCTGGTACAGTACCTGTATTACTAAATCCCACCCTTCTAGAAATCCTCATTCAGCAGCATGCAAATCAGATTGTCACAGGAAAGGCAGAAAAGGTGCTAATTGCAGGCAGGAAGGCTGACAGCATTAAAACGGCTGGAGAGAAACCTGGCTGGAGTTAATTTTAAGGCAGGACAATCAAGTCAGACAAAGGTGTGTAGGAATTACTAAATTACAGAGTAGGCAATAATTTAATTTATGCTGAAAAAAAGAAGAAAGAAAACTTTTTTCTTTTTTTCCAGCATGGAATAAACCTAGGACTTGTTCCTTTGCAGCCTACGCGTGCTGACGCAGCTACCCACCTGACTAATTGAATTTGCTACCTAAGAACAAAACATGAAACTGCATTTATTTCAACAGTGAAACATGAATCTGAGGACACCAGAGGAAGTTACTTGAAATGCATTTAAAACTGAGATCGGGGGCACCCCTTTACCTAAAAACACTGTGAGGTATGAGGGTGGAACAAGCTGCCCAGCAATGTGGTTGGGGCTGATACCCTTCACGAAACAGCTGGATAAGATCCTTGACTCAATAAACTCACTATCGCAGGCTCACCATGGGCCAAACGGCCTCCTCTGCATTTATCACCCTTTCTGGTGTTCTTACAACCCCAGGAAGGAGGCTATGTGGTTTTGAACAGGCACGGTTTGCATGCAGCCATGTCTTAACTGCATGTCAAGTTGCCACCCCACAGCCATTTTTTGTAGCATTAGATATCTGATTCATTTTCTTCAAGATGCTTTTAAACGTCAATGGCACTGACAGTTGGAATAACCCCACTGACAGCACTCAGAAAAAAAACAAAATCACGTCATTCCCTGTGCTTGATCTTTACATATATTAATTAGCACTACCTGGGGAGGTTCACAACTTAAAGAACTAATGTTTGTTGGGGATTTTGCTCACAGCACAGCAGAGAACTGAATTATATCAGTGCAGGTAAACTGGATTGCACGACGCATGCTTGATGCAGATCCCATGCAGCAATACCTGTAAAGCGCTTTGAGTGGAGTGTCCAGAAAAGCACTATATAAGTGTAAGCAATTATTATTATTATTATTATTATTATTATTATTATTATTTTTACATCAGGTAGTCCTAAACACTGTAGGATTACACAACAGGCAAGAGTTTATTCAAGTTTCTAATTTAGTCAAATCTCAACAACCAAATTGTTTTCCTATTGACTGTAAAGTTTAGTTTCGTTCACTTTTTCTGTTTTTGCCAAGTTCTTGCACTTTTTGCTCAGAAGCCAGACACAGCGAGATCACAGTTCTGATAACAGCCTCACGTTCCTCTCAACCACAGTCACTGTCTGGGACAAGGGGGCTGGTGGTGGAGGAGTCACAATTTGACAGCGGGAGGAAAAAAAATAACACATTTGGCCCATCAGTCACAGTGTTTCTTCTAGCTTCTAAAGATAATTACTCCCCCCCACCCCAGAACACTTACATTCAACTGAAAGTGGCGAGTAAGCAACTTTCCCCACATTACAAGTTAAACAGAACGCATCAGCACTGAGTAGGGCAGTGCACAACAAAAGCAAAAGCACACTGCAATGAAATAGGACGTCAGTAATTGTATTTAAAAAATTTGATTCCTATTGATCCTAACGTCCTCTCTAAAGTCGGTGTAACTGAAAGCAAACCTCAAGTGATCCAGCACTTAGGTACGCTAACTTAAGTGCTGTACAATCAATACAGTACTTCTCACTGTAGTGATTGTATTATTATTATTATTGTATCATTCGTTACACTGTTGCTGTGTTGTCTGTGTTAAGCTGCTGTTGCATTGCAATTTCCCTCACGGGATCAATAAAGTATCTATCTTAATATAATAAGTAACGAAAGACTAGGTCCACAAGGTAATGTAGATATAAACGGGATCCACTAGTTAATGTGAGCTCGCAGAAAAAGACATTTCACTGCCAGCAACTACTGCTGCACGCCGTATTGTTGTGCATTTGATAAATAAACTTTGATTTGATTTAATGCACGGTGCGGTGGCTCAGTGATTTTGCAACTAGCCCCATATACAACCTCTTTCTTTCCCATCTCGAGTTAATTTCTGCAATCCCAGGTTCACAGACCCGCTCTGTACATTGGTTGCGCACCCGTTCCGGAGCCAAACAAGGAAGCTCTTATTAGATTTTTTTAGGAAAGGGCATACTTACTGGATCTCGATGCATGGTCACCCGGCGGAGAGGGGTCTTTCTTCTCGGCTACCGCCAAATGCCTGGAAGGCTGCGGCAAGCACTTTTTGCAGAAAGAGTGAAGGCAGGGCAGGAGTCGGGGTTCTCTGCTCTGGAAATTTGAGGTGCATACGGCACAGGTGTCCAGCAAATTCAGGGAGCTTCGCAGCTTGGGACTCTCCTCTTCGATCTGCATGCTTTCTGCTTCGTTTTCTGCAACCAGCACGACGTCTTTGTCACCGTTGTTTTTTTCCGAGCTCTCATCCATATTTTTCCACGGACTGTTTGTTGATCGACAGAATGTATTCCAGTTGTGTGTGTGTGTGGTGTGTTGTTGTTGTTGTTGTTGTTGTTGTTGTTTTCAGGTGGCAGTCATCACCTGACTTCACATCGGTCACGCCAAGATACCTTACAAACGTAACACTGGATGGTTCCTCGTAACCATGCTTATTATAATAATAATAAAACCCGAAGGAACGGCGTGTGCTTATTCAAAGTACTGTACGGAGCTGCAAAGTGCTGGATCCCCAATTACTTCCGATTCCAGTTCTTTCCAGACCGTTCTCTTTATTGACAGTCACTGTGCAATGGATATACCCCGTACAGGACATGCGTTACGCAAACATTACCGTAGCGATGTCCGTGTTGAAGTCGGGCATGAAAGAAATCCGTGTAAGTGCCCGCAGCGGCATGCACGGGCTACAAATGTAGCTGACGCCTTGTATTTTGCCCTATGCAGTCGATAGGCATCCACAAGGCCCTCGCAGACACGGATCCGCGCAGCACATACACATTTCCCAGGTTGCCCCGCGCACCCTGCAGCGCAGAGCAGCAGCAGCAGCAGCAGCCCTGGGTAGGAGGAGACAAACAGAAACCTTCAGAGACAGAGAAAGCGCTGCTTTCTCTCCCTGAGTGACTGCGGGGTTTTGTATCGTTAGTGGGGGCTCTTCGAAGCGCGGTGTGGGAGTTGAATAGGAAAAAATAAAGCATGTACTGTATTTGCAATTTAAGCAACCGCAGTGTAAAAGCTGACCAAGTAGGCTGGCAATAATAAGATAAGATCACTTTATTTGCCCTGTACAATTTATTGCATTAGGAATTTGTCTTTTCACAAACCCCAGCTTGCTCTCCATGAGA